CCATATTTCCTGGATGTTTTGTGTTAAGGATGTGTTGGACTTAAGATTTTCTTTTGTTGATGAATCCATTTCTCCTAGGGTATCTTCAACACCTGAGATTCTCTCTTCCATCTCTTGTATTCTGTTGGTAATGCTTGCATTGGTAGTACCTGACCGTTTGCCCACCTTTTCTATTTCCAGGCTTTCTTCAGATTGTGTTTTTTATTGTCTCTATTTCAGTTTTCAACCCTTGCACTGTTTGAATTGTTTCTTGCAATTTTCTGTTTATCTCTTTGTCCATTTGTTGCATTTTATGAATTTTTTGGTTTGTTCTTTCTTCCATTTCTTGCAGTTTTTGGTTTGTTTTTTTCTTCTATTTCATGCATTTTTTGGTTTGTTTTTTCGTCCATTTCTTTAAAGGATTTTCCTATATCCTCTTTTAGGGCCTCTATCATTTTCATGAAGTTGTTTTTAAGGTCATTCTCTTATGCTTCATTTGCATTAGAATGTTGGAGTCTTGCTGGTGTGGAATCTCTAGAATCTGGCAGTGTCATATTTGTTTTTCTGTTGCTGATTGTGTTTTTGTATTGTCTCTTTCCCATCTCTTCCTCTGGAGCGTGCAGAAAGAGCCCCTTACCGGTGGTTAGTGGACCAGAGTTCCCATTTGGTGGGTGGTAGCAAGTCCAATACTCTGTAGTTCTTCTATTCCTCATCCTTGTTCTGGTCCCTTGGGTGGAGAAGACCAGGAATCTGGGGTGTTTAGCCTCCCACCTGGTCCCCTGGTCCCTTTGGTGGAAGAGAAGACCTGGAATCTGGGGTGGTTGGCTCCCACTGGGATAGGAAGCTCTGTACAGCTCCCAGGCAATCCCCAGGCAGAATTTTATTTCTTAATTCAATGATGTCTTTAATTAAACTTGAACTATTTTTTAACCTTGTGTTCTGTCTTTAATCCTGTCTGTCATTTCTGCTCAAGTTTACCTTTCTGTGTGTGTATGTGTGTGTTTGTGTGTGTGTAGAAAAATAAATCACTTTTCTTTTGCTACTCCTATAAATGCTCCTTACCTGAGAAGTTCCTGTACTGAAAAAATAAATTTGATCAGATATTTGAATTCTTAGGACTTTTTATTTTTTAAACAAAATTTTCTTTCAGTTAAAAACAATCTTGTTTACATACCAATTCCAATTCCCTCTCCCATCCTTCCTCCCATTCCCCCATATTTTGCTATCCAACACACCATCTAATCCCTAGAGAAGGTGAGGCCTCCCTTGGGGGATCATCAAAGTCTGACATATCATTTGGGGCAGAACCTAGGCCCTCCCCCATGTATCTGGGCTGACAGAGTATCCCTCTGTAGGGAATGGGCTTCCAAATCCATGAATACACTAGGGATAAATAATGATTCCACTGCCAAAGGCCCCATAGCCTGCCCAGTCCATCCAACTGAAATCCACATTCAGAGGCCCTGTTTCTGTCCTACGCTGGTTCTTCCCAGCTGTCAGACTGGGGTCCATGAGCTCCCACTTGCTCAGTTCAGCTGTTTCTGTGGGTTTTTCCAGCATGGTCTAGACCCCTTTGCTCATCACTCCTGCCTCTCTACAACAGATTTCAGGAGTCCAGATGATTACTTAGCTACCAGTCTCTACTTCTGCTTCCATCAGCTACTGGTTGAAGGCTCTAGGATGGAATTTAAGGTAGTTATCAATCTCATTATAGGGGAAGAGCATTTAAGGTAGCTTCTCCATTATTGCTTAGGTTCTTAGTTGGGGTCATCCTTGTGGGTCCCTGGACATTTTCCTAGTGCCAGATTTCTCTTTAAAACTATAATGACTCCCTCTACTAAGGTATCTCCTTTCTTGTTCTGCTTCTCTATTCTATCAACTCAATCTTCCTTATCCCTCATTTCTCATCCAACCTCTCTCCACTCTTCTTTCAGCTACCTTCCTTGCTCCTCCCCATGCTTCCAATCTGTTCAGGAGATCTAGTCCCTTTCCCTTTCTCTGGAGAACCATGTATGTCTCTCTTAGTGCCCTCTTTGTTTCCTAGCTTCTCTGAGGTTGTGGATTGTAGGCTGGTTATCCTTTTCTCTATGTCTAATATCCACTTATGAGTGATTAAATACCATGTTTGTTTTTCTGTGTCTGTGATACCTCACTCAGGACGATTTCACCTAGTTCCATCCATTTGCCTGCAAATTTCAAGATTTCATTTTTTCCACTGATAGCACCACATTTTCTTGATCCATTCTTGATCCATACACATAACCTGGTTGCTTCCAGGCTATGTGTATTGCAAATAATTCTGCTATGAACATAGTTGAAGAGATGTCCTTGTGGCATGAATGTGCATCCTTTAGGTACATGCCTATGAGTGGAACTGCTGGATCTTAAGGTAGATTGATTTCTATTTTTCTGAGAAACTGCCATACAGATTTTCAAAGTGACTTTACAAGTTTGAACTCCCAGCAGCAATGGAGGAGTGAACTTATTTCTAAGGACTTTAAGTTCTTTCTTCCAAATAAAGTGAAAGGAAAGGATTAAAATCAAATTTAATCTGTGAATGGCATGTATAGACATAAGAAAAATCTCAATGTTTTATCCTTCACTGTTTTTGTCTTTTTTTTATTTTAATTTTAAATAGCTTGTTTTACATGTCAATCCCAGTTCCCTCTCCCTCCCCTCCTCCCGCACTCCCCTTCCACCCTCCCTCCCACCCTATTGCCAAATCCTTCCACATAGGGGATGTCTAGAGTCTATCATTTTACTCTTGGTAGGGTCAAGGCACTCCCCTAAGAGTCCAGGCTGAGAGAGCATCTCTCTTTGTGCTATAGGCACATGAAGACAGATTGTATACCAGGGATAGACACTGATCCACAGCTCAGAGCCCCATAGGTTGTCCAGGCCTTCTCACTGACACTCACATTTGGGGGGTCCAGATCAGTCCCATTCTGGCCTCCCCACTGTCGGTCTGGGGTCCAAGAGCACTCCCCTGTTCAGATCAGCTGTCTCTGCTGGTTTTGCCAGCCCATTCTTTGCCAATTTGCTCATCATTCCTCTCTCTCTGTCACTGGGTTCCTTGGGTTCAGTTCAGTGCTTAGTTGTGTGTTTGCCTCTGCTTCCATCAGTCCCAGGATGAAGGCTCCCGGATAGTTATAGACATCAAGTTCATTATCAGGAATGGGCATTCGAGGTGGTCCTTCCACTATTGCTTAGCTTGCCAATTGATGTTATACCTTTAGATCACATTTCCTGATACAATAGAATGCTGTCATGTTTTAACCCTGGAATAGTCACAACAATATTAAGGCATTTCCTGTTAGTCATATGTTTAATAATTTATTCACAACACTGTTAATGCATGTGATCCTTATGCGATGTCTACAGATTTAATTTTTAATTAACTTGAATATGATGTTCATTTTTCATTTGATTAAACTAAATTCACTAGAGAATAGATATCAAAGAAACTGCCTTGAGAGTTGGAGAGATGTCTTATCATTTGAGAGAGAAGGCTCTTTCTGAGTAGCAGCAATGGTATCCCAGGGCCCATGCCAGGCAGCTCCATGAGATCCGACATGCTCACCTAGCATTCCCAGATATACAACAGACACACATGCATGGGCATGCACACACACACACACACACACACACACACACACACACACACGTGAGCACATGAACAAAAATAAAAATAAGTCTAAATGAGAAATATTCTTTTGATTTTTTTGACCTGTAATGCCAAACACATTTGGGCCACACAAATTTTAAGCATTATATCAGCTCAGTAATGTAATAATGGTGATTTGGGGAAATGTTTACAAGTCAGAAAACTACACCATTCACCTAATATGCTGTGTAGATTTTCAATGAACATATTCATAGTTTACTTATTTTAAAAATAAACATTATTGTTGCTAATACTGTATGTAGTGTGTGCCTTATGAAGACTTTGCTTAGTAGCGTAACCTGCACTTTGAAAATGTCTCCCTACCATCTTCCTTCTGGTCACCTCATCCGCAGTTTTCTTATTGCATCCTCCCCAGGCCCCTTCGTAATAAATAAAAATGCAGTTTGTTTTGTTTTTCTTTAATATATATAAATGTGTGTACACACATGTGTGCACCCTTTGTGTACCTATGCCACAGAAGTCAGAAAATTGTGTCATATTTCCATGGTGCTGGAGTTACAGAAAGTTAAGGACCACCAGGAGAGACTCAGGACTAAGCATTGGCCCTCTTAAACAGCAGCAAGTACTTTGAATGCAGAGCTGTTTTTCTATCATTGGGCTGATTATACTTTGTGTCTACTTTTCAAATATTGTGGTTACTTCCTATGGAAAAAAATGTATTGTTTAAAACAATGAAATGAGGAGAAGTCTCTTTCCCTTTCTCAATGTTGTTTTTCCCTCTTGGAATTAACTGTAAAATAAACGTTTTCATTTTATTTAGTAATGCAAACAAACATACATGGAAGTGACTTTTCTTGAGCTCACATATTACTCTCATGTAACTATTAGGAATTCTTCCCTTGTTTTGTGTCTAATATGAGAAGTCACCTGCAGTGTTGCCGTTTCCTCCCTGTATCAGTGCTTGCTTTGGTTTCTCATTGTGGCTGCAGATCTCCCAGGTGTACACTCTTCTATTTAAATCCCAGTGTTATATGGTAATTAGGCATTCCAGTAAGAAATAATTCAGTTCCGAATACTAGAAATTTGGGGTTTATAAAATCTTTTTTTTCTTTATAAATACCAGTTAATTGAAAGTGTATTTCTTTTTAAATACCAGCTAATATCAGTGTAACAGACATGATCTGTTCTTATTTAACTGGTGAGAGTGAGGCCATCTCAAAGTTAAGGTTAAAGAGATATGCTCATTCTACATAAAATGCATGCTTAGCTGTTAGGAAATTTGTAGATAAGATATGGTTTAAAACTTCTAAAGAATGTTTACCTGTAAACAGAAGCAAAATGTCATTTTTGTATATTTAATGATATTTCTTACATTGTTTCTAATTCTTCAGGGTCACCCTGTGATCCCACATTCATCTTGGGCTGTGCTCCCTGCAATGTGATCTGCTCCATTATTTTCCAGAATCGTTTTGATTATAAAGATCAGGATTTTCTTACCTTCATGGAAAAACTAAACGAAAATATCAGGATCCTGAGCTCGCCCTGGTTTCAGGTGAAGTAAAGATCTTTTTCTTCTGGGAACACCTTTGTAATCTTTCATTCTCACAGTCAAATTCAATATGGACCAAGAAGTGAGGTGAGCAGACTCCATGATTCTGAACAACATATTATGAAAAGAATATGTAGAAGGCAGATCTAAGCCCTTTTGCTGTACAAAGAGCAAAGCTGAAGGGCAAACTCAGGGTGGCTCAAGCCTGCTAGGTCCCTATCCATTTTAAATAGATGTTCACAGAACTGTTTATAAGATTGCATTCAAATCCAGAAATGCTGCAAGCTGTTCACAGGACCTTATTCTATGAATAGTTCTAATACTTTTTTCTATTATTAAACATATATATCCTGAACATATTGCTAGGCAGGAATATTTTAGTTTAGAAAGAATATTTTCTGAAAGGATAAAGAATAAAATGAAAATGAAACCTGACACGAAACGCTGAGTAGTTTCAGTGGTTTAATGTGTCAGCTGGAATCATGCTTGACAAACAGACAAGTAGAAAGGCTATGAGTGATTTAATGTTGTGTGTCCAACATCCATCTTCTTAGAGTTGTCCTAGGCACTAGTGGCACCTCATGTACTCTCCGTAAAGAATGGCTATGATCCGGGCACTCAGCACAACAAGGCACCATGCAGTCAGACACGACTATGTTAAGCAAATGCATGGTGTGGTATGGGAAAGACAGCGAGGTAAAATGCTTCATGTCCTGTGGAGAGAGATACAGTTCAAGAGAGGACTGAGATGGATGTATTAATTGCCACCAGGGAGGGCCATGGTGTTGTCTGGGTCTCGGCTGCATCCAGGACCGATGTCTGGGTTCATGGTCCTGTTGCAGCCAGGGTTTGTGTTGATGTCCATAGCTCCTGATAGAACTGAAGGCAAAGATGGAAGGACTGCACAAAGTTAGTCCTGACACTCACTGGCTGCATCACTAGGGGGAACAGGCTCTGTATTTCTTCTGAGAAGCACACTGGAACTGATCCCGTTGACAGGTGTGTGGAGCAGGCCCAAAGAATGTGCACCTGGGTGATCTGACTCCACCCCTCATCTGCCATATGGTGACTTGGGTGTGGGAGAGCTGACCCCCGTGCCTACTGCTTGTGGAAAGTGGGACAGTTAGCCCTGAGGTCATAAGAGCAGGAGAGCTGCTCTTGCAGACACCACTGCAGAATGCAGGCAGCAGACCATGCACCTTGTCTGGGCAGCACAGCAGAGCTCCTTCTGTGGGACATTATTTCTTATTCACGTCGGGATCTACAAACCCGAGTAGATCTTGCTGTATTTTATGGATATGTGTATTTCCTCATATCTGCTCCTTTAAAAAGTTTTTTGGCAAGGACTGGAGAGATGGATCAGTGCTTAAGAGTGTGTGTTAATCTTCCTGATTCCAATTTTTAGCATCCATGTTAGGTGGCTCAAAACCACTAGCTCCCGGAGATCTGATATCTTTGGCTTCCAAGACACCCACACATACATGGTACACACATGTATGCATGCATACACATGCCACATACACCACTAAAAGTAAAACAGTACATCTTATCAAAAATGTCTTTGATTTTGTAGGTCTGCAATAATTTTCCTTTACTAATTGACTACTGTCCAGGAAGTCATCACAGAATAAGAAAAAATATCACTTATATCAGAAGTTACCTTTCAGAGAAAATAAAAGAACATCAGGAATCATTGGATGTTGCCAATCCTCAGGACTTCATTGATTATTACCTGATTAAACTAAAGCAGGTAAAATGTTAACATATATTTATTTTATTGTTTGAGCATTTTGTGGTTTGCTGAGCACCAACAGGTTTATCAGAGATGGTTTAAATCAGTTGTACAATGAAAAAGTAAAGACCCAGAGACTGTTGCTGAGTTTCAAACTTCAGGCAGAATATCAGAAATGCAAAGCAGCCGGGCACTAGCTTTGTACCTCTACTTCAGGGTGAATGGGCTGATCCTACTCCATTAGCTGAAACAGCTTTATTCATCAACCAGTAAGAGAAACATATATTTTTTTGGTTGTGAGCCTAGGCCTCACCCTCCCTGGGGAAATGAGGGGGTACTGGGAGGAGTTGGTGGGAAGGCATGGTAGGAGGGGAGGGAAAAGGAACTGGGATTGACATGTAAAGGAACCTTGTTTCTAATTAAAATTTAAATTTTAAAATTAAAAAATAGAAACATATATACATAGCATGCAGAAAGACATCCCCCATCATCTCTTTTCTGTATAAATAAAAAGGAAGCCTTTAATTTTAACATAGTAAAACTACATATGACAAAACTGTTATCAAGCAAGAATTATAGTTACAACATTTAGTCCATTAATATTTGGCAAAATTTAAGGAAAATATTCTATCATCTAACCTATCTTTGTGAGTCTAAACTTTTATATAT